ACGTCTCCTTTCTCTTCCTTTCCCTTCGAACGCGGACTTGAACTTCCTCGAATTACCCGCGAAACGTGGAGAAGGAGGGGGTTGAAAATCAAAGCGTGTCTCGCTCGTACAACTCGGCCTAATCGATCCGATTGCACGCGATCGCGCGAACACGATTGTATCCGAAATTTATTTAGGTTGAATTGTAGTTAACCCCGTGTCAGGGGCAATTTGCATGATGGATTTAAGTCGTTACGGTCCTACGGTTATGCCGGACATATCATATTTCGTCGTGGCAATCAGTTTAGCTGCGCTTATATTTAGCTAAGCGCGCCAATGAGACTTGTTGATAAAAATCTTGCTGGCTCGATATCGTCCTATTATCATGATTTTATTGCTGTACATTTAGAAACTTGTACCGTGAATGAAACGTAACATATGATTTCATTGTCAGACGAGGGTTAATCGAGAGAGAGAGAGAGAGAGAGTTCTTTAATTCGTTTATTTTTAAACGATTTATCCTTGCGCTATAGAATGTACAATTAAGAAACCCTATCGTTTCTAGGAGCACTTCGTAGAACTTGGTGTATTTACATGGTGCTCCTTTTCATTTAGTCGTTAAGTATTAAATCAGATTCGTTTAAATCTAGTTCAAGCATAAGTAGTAACGGCGAACGGTGTTCTGAAAGAACGCATTCATACCGATCGGGTTCGACGAGAAAATCATAGATTTTCTTCGAAAAGTATGCGAGGTTGTTTTTTTTACGATGTTGCAAGGAAGGTGAAAGAAGAACATGGTTAAGGAAAAAATGATACTTAATTAATGTAATTTCATCGTATCACCAACATACCAAATAAGACATAGCTGTGTATCATTTTCTTCAATCACGTAGATTATTACATGTTGAAGAGCAAACAGAAATTAGAAAAAAATTGTAAACTTCGTAGATAATTAGCAACTTATTAGATGTTAAAGAAAATATAAAAAACAGAAAATATAAAAAAATTGTAAACCTCGTAGATGATTAATTTTCTTACGATATATATACGTAGGTTGAGTATTATATCGAGCAAAGTGTATACATATCAAAATATTTGTGGACACCAACTGTATCCCGATTATTGAAGGAGAGAGAGAGAGAGAGAGAGAGAGAGAGAGAGAGA